AAAAAAAAAACTCCAAAGGAGATAGCTCTTGAAACTTTAACTCCAGGTAGGGTTATAGTGTGTGTGTGTGGGTGTGGGTGTGGGTGGGTGGGCGTGGTTACATCATAAGTGTTGCTCCAATTTTTCCAGCTGTTTCATTCATAGCAAGGACTGCCCAACTAACATTGACCAAGGGTAAGAAATCAGATCAGGTGTTAATGGCGTTGGTTAATTCTGCAGGGATTGACACCCACTTTCTGCCATCTTCCATTCTTGGCCTGATATCTGGTTTGACCAGTGAGTTTCACCCTTTTCTGCAGAGCTTGCTAAAGCCTGCAGTGAAATCAATAGCTCGAGAGATACAGGTAGTTGTGTCATAAGGCTATTTTCTAGTCAAGGCACTTACTCTCTCTGTACCTCTCAGTTAATTCATCTCTAAAATGGGAATAACAATACCTAGCCTGCCTCCCTTACAGGTTTGCAACATGAATCAAATGAGCTTGTACATATGAATAAAAGTAGGAGCTATAAAGGAATTTTATTAATAACAAGAAGGGAGGGCTGAGTGAGGTTTCTGGATTATTTTAAGTAGGATAGCTGTGAGTACAGCATAAACTTTTTTTCTCTTAAAAAAATTTTTTTAAGGGGCGGCACCTGTGATTCAAAGGAGTAGGGCGCCGGCCCCATATGCCAGAGTTGGCAGGTTCAAACCCAGCTCTGTCCAAAAAAAAAAAAAAAGACTGGGGTGGGAGGAGTATCTTGCTCAGGCTGGTCTCAAACTCCTGGCCTCAAGCTATCCTCCTGCCTTGGCCTCCCAAAGTGCTGGCATTATAGGCGTGAACCACAGCTATACCTGGCCTTTTCTGTCTTTATGCACCCCTGGGTGCTTTTTCCCTAAGGAGCCAGTTTAACCACACCCTCTGATCCTGGTGTTTTGGCATTCCCTGCTGTTGAGCTCTGCACGATGGCATTTGGATGCAGTCCTGGGGCACTGCCAGGGTAACCGTCCCACTGTGGGAACAAGCTGCGGGGCTCTGGACAGAAGTCCTGACAAAACAGGATGGGAATGTGTGTGCTCGCCCACACAGGGGTGCCCTGTAGCCTGTGAGCCATCTTTATCTGAGGGATCAAAGCCCTGGCTGGCTGCAGGTGACTCATGGTGTGGGGCTGCCAAGCAACTCTGTTTTCCTTCCAGGTCTCGACCCTGCGGGCCCTTTATTCAACGGAAAACCTCCCCAGGACAGGTTGGATCCCAGCGATGCACAGTTTGTTGATGTCATTCATTCCGACATAGATGGTAACGTTCCTGTCCTGTGGGCCTGTGCTCCCTCAGACTCCAATGTGTCTCCTCCTCCCCCTCCCCAGGGAGATTGCCATGGAGTGGCAGATCAGGTTCCTCTAGATTCCCACTTTTCCTACCAGGAAGGGTCCTATATCCACACAAATGCCCAAGGGAAGCTGGTTTAATGTAGGCACCTGGGAAGTTGTGCTGGAATGGGGATGATGATTTTCCCATCGTCTCTTTCCTTTGTTCTTTTTTTTTACTTTTTCTGAGACAGAGTCTCCTCTGGGTAGAATGCCGTGGTGTCATGACTCACAGTAACCTCAGACTCTCTTGGGCTTGAGGAATCTTCTTGCTTCAGCCTCCTGGGTAGTTGGGACTACAGACATTAGTAGACACCTAATTTTTCTATTTTTAATAGAGACAAGGTCTCACTCCTGCTCAGGCTGGTCTTAAACTCCTAAGCTGGAGTTCAATCCACCTGCCTTGGCCTCCAAGAGTGCTAGGATTGCAGGCATGAGCCACAGCACCCGGCCTCATTTTTTTTGAGGACAGGCCAGTAGGTGGATAGTAGGTGGACAAATTTGCCCAGTAGGTGGACAAATGTTTTCGTATGTGCAACTGGGCTTGGGTGCACCAGGACCTGGTTTTGTTGATTCTTTCTCTGTATTTCCCCAAGCTGAAAGTATGTTTCGGTGTGGTGTCTCTCCACACAGAGCAACTCTGACCTACCTGTAACTTTCTAGCTCTCTGTAGATCTTCCTGGCCATTTCTGTCCTAAACAGCACTAGTAGAGAGGTAATTTAATCATATGTCCTCTTTGTGATACAACCACCTAAAACACCCTTGACCACCTACCTCGGGCACTCTGGGGTGATATTCCTTAATCGTTTGCCTTAGAAGAAATGTCTGTCTGTGAAACAGCTTCATTGCTGTGCAGTTTGCAAAGTATTACCTAAGCAAGTGCAGTGCCTGAGTGACATGTCAGTGCTTAGTGGAATAGAGCAATTATTTTGTATTTTTAGAAAGTGAATTTTGAAGGCAAGAGCTTAAGTTCTGAAGTCAAGCAGATGTGGATTTAAATCCTGCGTTTCTCTCTTTCTACTGACATACCATGTTGGTTCCTTAAATCCTTGCACCTCTATATCTTCATCTGAATTTACCAGTAGCTACTTTGCAGAGATAGTGAAAATTAGAAGTAAAGTGTGTAGAACATCTACTATCATGTACATGTTGGTTATATAAATATTATTACCATGAAGAACTAGATATGCATATCCCTATGCATATACATATATACATAAATAATCTTTTTTTTTTTGAGACAGAGCTTCAAGCTGTCCCCCTGGGCAGAGTGCCGTGGCATCACAGCTCACAGCAACCTCTAACTCCTAGGCTCAAGCGAGTCACCTGTCTCAGCCTCCCAAGTAGCTGGGACCACAGGCGCCCGTCACAACACCTGGCTATTTTTTGTTGTTGTTGCAGCCATCATTGTTGCTTGGCGGGCCCGGGCTGGATTTGAACCTGCCACCTTAGGTGTATGTGGGTGGCACCTTAGCCACTTGAGCCACAGGCACTGAGCCCATAAATAATGTTTTAATCATGCATTTTACTGATTATTTTGGGGTTATGTAATTAAAGAAAATAAGCAGTTATGAAGTCTATCTATAAATTTTTAGGTCCTCATTTTCTAGAAGTGTTTTCAGTCTATTTACCTTCCTAGATTG